GCACTCTCCCTAGCCGACGTGTTTGGGGTCTTCTGTGATGTCCTGTTGTATAGAAGTTGGGGTATTTAATACATGTTTTGCATTTTAGACCTTCAGACACACAAACCCTCTTTTGTCTCAACTCACTCTTTTCTCCTTACAAGTTTTAAATCTCGATTCTGTCTCTTTGAAACCAAGAATTGTAATTACATTCAAATGTCTCACCTACAGTGTTTTCTTGGCCCACTTTTCATGTATTTCAAAATCATTAAACAAGACAAAGTGGAAGTCTCGGTCGCTCATTGATCTGCCCTCAGCCTCTCTCACATTAATGGTGTCAGATCAGCTTTCTCAAGCCTATTCTGTGGGTATCCTTGCTGTGCAGGCCATGAAAGTCATGTGGAAATCTCACTGCCTAGAGCCTCAGTCAGAGTATCTCCTTGAAAACTTCTATTTTTGAATGCTGGATGCAAATAACAACAACAACAACAACAATAAAAACAAACAAACAAAAAAACCAAAACACAAGCAAACAAAAATTTCTGTTCATGTCCCTAATTCTTAAAATTTGTGACAGATGGTTGGAATAAAGGCATTTTATTAAATTTTAGCAAATGGGCTTCATGGAGAATCTGAGGAAGTGACAGGAAAGAAGAAATTTTAGTGGATACTAGTATGAACATTTGGCCAATTTATACTAGATTCAATTCAACAAAAAAAAGAGGACCTTGTTGCACTCATACATGGCTGGTGGGACTGCAAATTGATGCCACCACTGTGGAAAGCAGTATGGAGATTCCTCAGAAAGCTTGAGATGGAACCACCATTTGACCCAGTTATCCCACTCCTTGGTTTATACCCCAAAGACTTAAAATCAGCATACCACAGTGATGCAGCCACATTAATGTTTATAGCAGCTCAATGCACAATAGCCAAACTATGAAATCAGCTTATATGTCTTTCAAGAGATGAATGGATAAAGAAAATGTGATATGTATACACAATGGACTATTACTCAGCCTTAAGGAAGAATAAAATGGTGGCATTTGCAAGTAAATGGATGGATCTGGAGAGTATCATGCTAAGCAAAATAAGCCAATCTCCCAAAACCAAAGGCCAAATGTTTTCTCTGATATGTGGTTGCTAATTCACAATAAAGGGGGAGATGTGTGACTAGGGAAGAATAGATTTACTTTGGACTAGGCAGAGGGGATTGAAAGGAGGGGAGAGGGTTTGGGGACAGGAAGAATAGACAAATGAATCAGGCATTATTACCTGTGTCCATATATGATTACACAATGATTGTACATCATGTACAACCACAAGATGAGAAGTTATACTCCATTTACTATGATGTGTCAAAATGCATTTTACTGTCAAGTGTAACTAATTATAACAAATAAAAAAGGGGACCGTGTGTTGTGGAGAAAAATAGCCCCTTTCTGAAGGTGGGTGGCTAGGTCTGGTTGGATTGGGCAACTCACAGAATCAGGCAAAAGAACTTGCTCCCCAAACTGTTCTTGATACCAAAGGACACAGCGATGTTCTCATCAGGTGAGTTGGGGAACTCAAGTGGACCAGCCGTCCAGGGCTGACTCAGTGGTGACGGGGAGAAGGGACGTTTTTCAGTGTCATTGAATCACCCAAATAGCAGAAGAACAGTGTGCTTCGGGTCTAAGTCCTCTCCATCCCCCAGGGAAGACAAAATTTCCTTCTGCAGGGTAAGATGCTGAATGTGAGTCCCCCTGAGGTCTCCCAGTTTTATTGAGTTGAGGCCTCTGAAGCTGGGGGTGTCAGGTGTGTCCCCCTGTGTAGTCCCGTAGGAGGCCATCCACAGCACTGGGAGGCTGTGCGTGCAACCCCGTCAGCATCAGGCCATCATCTCCAGACGTTTAGAAAGAGGCTCACACAGGGCTGGTCCCAAGGACCTCCAGGGACAGTGGTTGGTGTCTGTACGTTGGTTCCCCCGATGCCCCTCAATGAGGAATGGCCCATCTCCCTTTCCCTAAAGCCAAATCAAAGATGGAGCTTCCAGGAAAGCAAGCAGAGAGCTCTCCATGTCTTCTGATGTGGGGGCAGTCGAGGACTCTAGTGTCCGCTGGCTGGAGCGGCACAGAGTGAGGCCTGAATTCCTGGGGAAGGAGAAACACAAGATGGGGTCCATCTGAGGAGCCAGGCTGTGGTCTTCTTAGCAAGTGTCTTTCCCACCAGGCCACCTGAAGAGGTGATTTTACCCAACAGAGGGACAAGCATTTCCTTCAAGGCCAGGAACGAGTCGGCTCTGAGAACTTATTTGAAAGCAATGTGACAGGAAATGCCAGGTTGGCTTCTGCGGCATCGTACAGAATTGAAGTGGCCTAGTAGCCTGGCTGCATAGAATACAGCTTCAGTTTACCCCAAAGAACAGACATCATGAAAGTGAGGACATGGTTAGTTATGTAAACACTCTCGCTTTACCTAAATCAACTGTCCCTAAGAATTTCCAAAGCTGTCACATCAATTGTATTGTACTAGGAAGATTTGTCCAGCAGAGGTATAAGGGATGGATCAGAGGACCTGGAAGAGTGACTTCCTGCCCCCTTTGGCCTCTCCCTTGACTTCTTCCACGCTCAGATGTCCCCGTGTGGAGTTTCCAGGATAATCTCACATGCTTCAGTGCTGTACGAAAGTTACTCCTTAGTTACCTGAGCTTGACATCACCTGAAAGAGATCCTCAGCACTAAGAGGCCAGGGACCCATCTTCCCTTTGGTAGTTATGACACCAGGACAGCTCCTGTCCCAACACATGGGCTCTGGAAAAGGTTGTTACAGGATGGATGAGTCACAATTCTGCCACTAGGACTGGGAAGGCCTGGCATTCTTTGATAATTGACTTTATTTGGGCTGCAGTTTTCTCCAGTGTAGAAGGATCGGACTCAATTCCTAATTTTCTTTCAAACTACCCCTCTAATTCAGTAAATGCAAGAAAAGAAGAACCAAGCAACAGAAATCATCAGATTGCCAAGAGTTGTATACACCATCCAGTGCAGGAGAGGAGTGGGTCCCATGGGGAGAGCTGATGTCAGTAAGGAGTGACAGTTGGGACACTTGAGAATAGCTTTTCTGAAACACATTTATCTGCCACAAGGAGAACATATTTAGTGAAGGATCTTTGTGTGTGTCAGGTTCAAGTTGGAAGCTTGGGAGTTACCTTTATATACATGATAGAAGTTGAACGTGAGGTTGCTTTGAGAGAAGCAAGCAGAGTATTAAAGAAAGGGTTTGAAGATACACGGTGGGTCTGCATGTTGGAGGAAAGAATTTTCTATAAGGAAAGGACAAACAAGGGCAGGGTGTGACTCAGAGAAGCATCACCCTGTAAGGACCTGAAGACAACATGTAATTCCCAGGATGTTTTGTAGAAACCAATGATCCAGTGCTTGCAGTTTAAGTAAGAAACTGAGGTCTAAATTTGGATCTACAAACTATTCACCACCCCATGGATTAGTGTGACCTCCTTTGTTACCACTGCCCTGCAAAGAGCTATCACGCAGGCCTTAAATTATCTTCTAACCTTTGCAGTTATCGAGACAAAAGTATGCTAATTATTTTGAGTAGATTTTCAATGGATTATTCCTAGGGCAGGACAAAAATAAGTGATAAAGGGGTTGATAAACTATTGTCCATGCCCAAGACCATAGACATGTCTCCAAACTGGTATTTGATGTCATTTTGCCACATGGATGGGGCTACATCTAGTTCTTCAAAGAAGAAACCCAAACCATTTTCTTGAGCAAGCAGCACATGGAAATGACACAACAGGACCCTGACACTGAAGTAGGCATGCCGTCACACAGCTCCAAGACCAGAGAAGGCCCCACATTGGCAGGGCCAGAAAACTAAACCGGGACATGAGGTGAACGAGATGTTTTTGAGAGGAGGAAATCTGGTAAAATATCTTCAAATGCATTTATCAAGTATTGTAGAATTATAGATTTCTTTTTTTTTTTTTTTTAAAAACAGACATGGTTGTCCACGTGCTTTGAGGCGACACCCAGTAACTTCATAGGAACCGACCGGAGTATTGATGAGAGAACACACCCCCATATTTCTTTGGCTTATCTTTAGAAAGGGACAACGTCTATCCACAAGACCTTTGAGGCCCAGGCAGAAAAAGATGGTCTATATTGTGAAACCTCTTTTGTATATAGGCTGAGCTGCAATATCGAGAAATCCACCGACAGTTTGAAAATTGCTCAGAATGTAGGGTGTGCATGAAAGCTGCACTGTATCAAAGACAGAATCCAAAGGACACGTTTTTCAAAAGGGAAAAATGGCCAGCCCAGAGCGCTGTGGACAAATCAACATGAAAACAGAGGCTGATATAATCGCGGCTAAAGGAACAAATGTTAAACATTCTCCCTTCAACTCAGCTGGCCTATTGTACCTCTGAATACCCAGGCTGACAAAGCCTCCCTCCCTCCCTCCAATTTCAGAAGTGTCAGACAGGAGACACAGTGCCAGCGAGAGAGCCTTCCCCATCTCTTGTTAGCTAACTGCGGTGTTTTGTTCCGCGGCTGCATGTCTGCGCCAGCCGACACTGTGTCAGTCATAATTACCACCTGTTCGCGTGCTCCCTTCAGGTCCCATCACCTCTGCAGCATTAAGCAGCCAGCGGCGGGAAGCGGTGTCGATGGCCCAGGAGCAGCGACTGTCAGGCTCTGGGTTTCAGAGGATAATTGCTGCCTGTGCACAAATAGCCCTGGCCTCTTTCCTCTTTCCCCTCCTGAATTCAGGCAGGAAAAGACCCAACTGCACGCTCGCTCCAACACCAACTCGCATTCTCCCAGCCGGAGAGATCACAGGCACATCAAATGTCATTTTCATGCCATGCATCAGATCTGAACTCACACAGACATGTCATTCTGTGGCAAAAACAAAATTTTAAAAGTTCAATTTAAAAAAAAAACAACACAAAACTGCATATCGACGGTGACCTTCCTGATTTTCAGTGTGGCACACTTTGTTTTTATTTTTAATAGCATCATTCTCTGGAGTTTCGATTGGAGAGACCTTCATGAAAATGATGTTTGGATCACACATTTGCGTCTTTCCCCATGCATTCTAATGTCACGCAGGACAAATATGGATAACACTAGCCAGCATGACTTGAGGACTTCGCCTGTGACCTGCACTGTGTTAAACATTCCATCCTAAACACACAGTTGAATCTCCACAGCTCCTCTATCGGGTAAGCACCATCGTTATTCCCTCGTCCAGCTAGTTCTTGCATGTGTTACAACTCACCTCAAATATCAATTGCTCAAGGAAACCTTTCCTGACCTGTCCCCCAGTTTGATCTTGATCCTCTTAGGCATTTGGTTCTTCTCAGTTGGGTCACTCTTACTAAAGAAACTGCGACTATTGGTGTTATGTCTGTTCTTATGTATGGACCGGGGCCCATAAATTCCCCAAATCAATTAGTTCCCTGAGTTAAATATCTTCTAAGTCAGAACTAGTTTAACATTTGTATACTTATTAACAAGAAAAAGGTGATAGGAAGGGTATCACCTCTGTGCCTTTATTTTTTCCCCCTTAAATTTCACAAAATCTCAGGCCTTTGGTGTTAAAAGTTATCCTGAAGTACCAGTGCTCATGATGGACATGATATTATCCTGACAAGAGTAGCACTTGGAATTTTTAGAACTTCAGATTCAAGCAGATGGATTCCATAGGTTTAAAACTGCGATGCTTCTGTGTCAGAAATAACCAGGGTTGGAGTTATTTTGCCTTTTAGTAATCTCAGCCAGGCCAGGATGGAATCCTGTTGGGTGGTTCCCAAAACTATCCAATCACGATAAATTGCTTGGAGAAGTTTGCAAAAAAAATGAATCACAAATAAACAGAACAAAACAAAACACATTTCCTGGTATCTTACCATCAACCAATTGAGTCAGAATGTTTGGAATTGAGGTCCAGGAATATAATTTTTTTTTTCAAATTGCTCTAATTTTGATGATCAGCTGTTTTGGGAAGCAATATTATAAGCCCTAAGGGGGTTAAAAGCCATTTGGTTTAAGTAAGGTATGCAAACATGGAGAAGTTATCTTCTGAGTGTGGACATGAGGACACCAGTGTGGATAAAATATAGAATCACACCTATAGTATGCAGCAAATGTAGAAGGAATAGATATTGTTTTCAGGTCAAGGCACAATTTGAATAACCTGGAGGACTTTTAGACAATGCCTGAACCCTGAACCCATGCTTACCAATTAAATCTGAGTCTTGACTCTGAGGAGGGCTCAGGCATCAGAAGGCTTTGAAAAGCAGCTCAGATAGTGCAGCAGGTTGGTGGTGGGACTAATAGCACATCCAGGAAGGCACTGGACTCTTTAGGAATCATCACATCCTGCAGAGAGAGAGCATCACCGCACTGACTAATGTTTCCCAAAGACTTTCCTCAGAACCCTGCTTCCTTAAGATGCTCTGAAAACAGAATTCTGTGAGCAAGTAAATTTGAGAAATGCTGCTTCTGGGTCTATCTTTGAGACCTATGTGCATGCTACCGATTGCTGTGTCTGAGTAGATCTGTGACCAACAACTTTTCACTTGGTTTAATCTGAGGGTTTTCTGCAGAAACCACTGTTTATTTTCATAGCATTTGCTAGCATCCTGATCTGCTCCAGTAATGAGTCAAGGTCAAATGGATGAGTACTGGAAGCCTGTGAGTGGCGACATGAGGCTGAAGGTCCTCTCTATTATATATTTGGGTGGAGAAATCCAGGTCTCATAATTCCAGTTTTTATACTTTAGTTTTAAATGGATGGGGTACAAGAGGCTGATGGAGACGTACCTCTATTGATGTGAATGAACTGGGAACCTTTGTTCTGTATCTCATGCATTAGGTCATAGTACAATCTTTAATGGGCCACAGAAACCTCCTCTCCCCACTTTCAACAGAGCAGAAAATCTTGGCATTGATTTGGGAGCCAAAATGAATTTGGACTTTGTCATGAAATCACTCTGGTCATTGAGTCCAAGATTCAGGCATGAAGTCCCAGCAGAATTTTCCAGTGACCTTGCCTGGTTTGGCTCTATCTCCTTGCTCCTCCCTCTACCCTGAGAACAATGGTTACTCTTGCCCTGTCAGCCAGGCTTCTAGGAATAGAGGTCACATGGAGCCCAGCCTAGTCATGCTCAGCTGAGCCAGGTCAGCAGTGATACAATATGAGCAAGAAATAAATGTTTATTGTAGACTAGGAAGATTTGGGCATAGTTTATGTCAACCAAATATAATCTATCTATAAATGTTATTTGGCAGTTGATTCAAAGGAACCAAATAGCCCTCCCCAAATAAGGGCTAATCAGGGAAATTCATATATTAATATTAATAAGTTGGTGTCTTTTTTTTTGCATGGTACAATGGAACTGTTTTGTTCATGTTTAATAAAGAATCCTCTCTTTAATGATCCACACTGAAATACTTTACGCATGAAGTGATACAGTGTGAGGACAGGGTAGTAGGTGGGATAAGAATGTCCAAGGGGAGATCACTGTGGAAACTGCATAGTAGACAATTGACTGTTCACTACATTATTCTATTTTTGTATATGTTCAAAAATATATATACAATAAAGAATTTAGAAAATCAACATTTTCAAAAACTATTCTCTATAGGTTGAAAATTGGTGGAGTACCTTGTCAGGATTGTTATAATCTAATTTTATGGTGGTGCCAATGAGCCATTCCTGCTGTAAAGAGTCAGCCAGAGAGATCTAATAATTTCCACCATGTAATTATTATCACTGTTTATCTTGGTAGAAACTGGTGCATATTGCGGTTGGAACACTAAGAGAGAAATGAGATCTAGGGAACTCAGAGGGTAATTATCCTTTTTTGAATATTGACACACTTGCATGTTTTTCCAGACGTAGATTTTGTGTAGGCGAAAGCTATTTGATTATAAAAGATCCGGTTTCTCTAAATTTTTTGGAGGTAAAAACTTCATTAATTAACATCAAGGAAAATGGAGCATCTGCTACTTTTTTGTCAACAGATTTTAATAATATTGAACACTGCTAATTGGACAGAACTGAAATATAGCTCTTTGTATGTTAAATTAAGATGGTTTCTTCTGCTATTTTTTTCTTCTAAATTTTATTTAAACCTTGGCAATTCAGAGTTTTCTCAACCACTTAAGTCAAAGTGGTTTTGAATACTTACAGGTAAAAAGGATTCATGTCAAAAACACTGTTGTTATTGTTGTTGTGATAGTTACTGTGACCTGGAAGGAGAAGAAAAGCAAATGGAGCTGCTAATATTCCAGTCTTAGACGTTGCTGAAGTCAGAAGACGGAACAGGGACTTTTAATGGGATTGAGGACAAATTTCAGATGCACTCTGGTTGAAAACCCAATGCAGCTTGGCTGCACTAGAAGGGATGGTGGTGGAGAGAGGGGAGACCTAACTTACCAGCAGATGGCGAATAAACCAGAAAGAGATAAAGGTAAGCTTTGGGCCCAGTTAATCTCAGCTCTTATTAATGCATCAAAATCAAAGTTACCGTTAAATGAATCAAAATCTAGTTTGATATACACGAGGAAGTGGACTAGCAGGATGGAAAGGAAGAGGAAATCGGAGCCAGAGAGCTCAAGGTCCGAAGTAGACTTCATGATTTCTTCACTGTGTGGTTTTGGGCAAATGATACAAAAGCACCCGCTCAGAAAAGCTCAGCCCTGGCCTTTTCATCTGTGTGATTGCAATGGGAAGACTTAGCACGCAGGATGCAGGGAGGGAAAACAATACAGCAGTTAGCAAGGTCTCTTCCAACTTCTTGTAACACTGGAGAAAAGCTTCCAGATTTTCTTGTTTTTCAAACATTGGCTTTTCTGCTCAGTCCTCTTGGATGTTCTTAGTGTCTGCCCTGGGTTGACATCAGATGCCAGGTCCGTCTCCTGCAGAAAAGCATCCTGACCATGGACAGTTCATTTCAGAGATATTGGAGCTGAGAATGTTGCTCATCCTAAGCAGCTTCTGAAAACCCTGCACCCAAGTGACTTAAATTTCCCACAATCCATGCATACGAGGGGAAGTACCACCCAATGTACCACCACAATGCCTCAGCGCTCATGCTTCATTTCCCTACCCCCCAGGACCAGTTTTCTTAGGAAATGGGATTCTAGGCCACCTGGATGACTATGCATGTTGTATACCTCACAACTCCAGAGAGTGCTGTCAACATGAAAGGTGCACTATGCAGTTCACTATGTGCCGTGGCCTTGGATTTGTAATCCCTCTTCTGACTTAAGGTTTTCAGTACTTTCTCAGCAGGGAAGCTTCCCCGGGAGGTCTCTCCAGAGGCTCCCTTGCTGCACATCTCAAGGCTCTAAGGTGAGTCCCTTGGTCACAGAAAGCCCACAACTGAACTCCCTCCTCCTGTGGAAGACGGCCTCCTGCCACCTGGTGGTTGGCAGAATCTCTTGCGTAACGAAAGAGCTCTCACCCAAATGGAACTGTCTCTAAACCTTGACCCAAATTCCAGTTACCCTTAGTAATTTTCAGCAGCAAAAATGTGAAGAATCCAAGAATTGGTGGGCTATTCATGCAGAATTGAACACAGATGAATTCTTTAAAATGACGAACGGTATGTCTCAGAACATTGAAGCAACTAGATTGTCATCACTTTTCTTTGTGGTCATATTTTGAATGCTGGCAAATGCCTAGCTTACAGAATTGGGATTTCTTTCCTCTTAGCACAACAGGAAGTGTTACCCATAAAACAGAGATTGATTTTGCATTATTACCAGAGTTATACAAAAACACAGTTGGGTACAATAATATTTGTGACAACAACCCCTATCTTATGGAGATTTCTAATAGCCTCGGTTCTGTAATTGTTCATTCAGATGCTCATGTCAAGAAGTGTAGGTGACAGCTTTAAGGTATGTTGACAACTACGTGTCCTGAAAGTGCATGTCCCTTGAGACTCAGAGTCCACAAAGTCATGATCATTCTAAAATACCTACCACTCCAGAATTCTGCATTCCTTCCAGATGATAATTGGTAATTGCTTTTCCTCATGGGGACAAACAGGTTTCCTCTCTTCATATCATGATGAAACAGGTTTGGGGTGATTGTGAGCCTTACACCATTGTGTGGTGATGAGTGATAATGAGGAAGACCTGGTGTGGTTCTTGGTGGATAAAAGAGACACAAGCATGTGAGTTCCCTCTGATACCCACCAGGACCCGGTGAGGTAGCCGTGTGATGGTTCTTCCTTCCCAGACGAGGAAGCAGAGACCCAGGATGCGAGTCTATTCCCTGTGTCACGCGGGCATTCTGTGACTGCTTAGTACAAACCAGGGACTGTCCAAGTGCCTGAGGATACAGCTGGTCACAACAATGCCCCCCTTTAGGGAGCATGTCTCCAGGTTACTGTGACATTAGTCTTCCAAAGCTGCCAGGACAGGACTGGGTTCTGAGTAGCAGACGTGTGTTTTCTCTCAGTGCTGGAGGCTGGAATTCCAAGATGGAGGTGTCAGGCCTTGGCTTCTCCTCAGGCTCCTCTGAGCCCAGCTGCCTTCTCCCTGGGCCCTCCAGGGTCTCCCTCCATGTGTGCACATCCCTTGTGCCTTTTTGCGTGTCCAGATTTTCTCTTACAAGGACACTGGTCGGGTTGGTTTGAGGTCTACTCTCAAGGGCTCATTGTAACTTCAAATTCTTTAAAGGCGCTGTCTCCAAATAGAGCCACAGTCTAAGCAACGGTGTCCAGGGCTTCAACATGAGAATTGGGGGGACACTATTCAGTCCACAGCACC